TTAGAAATTTAATCGTCCGGATCCCTTGTTTTTTTCAGAAAACGGATGCTATCAGAACAGTGACATTGAAACAGTTAGAAGAAACAAATATTTTGAAAATTTTGAATAGGAAATACCATTCAGGTGAAAAATTACTTAGAAATTCAGTTCGTCGAGAGATAAACAATCGGAATTTTATGAATAGAATTTTTCAAGTTGGCATTTATCTGATAATATTTCGTAGATGTGTACTACAGATTAATCTTACATTGGAACAAAATAACTATTCATTAATAATCTTTTTTAATATATAGATAGATATAGATGAAGTGGTTTTTAGAGGTTATCTTATTATGGAGGCGAAATTCGTCACTGATCAATCTCGGGGATTAAAGGACAGCTGCCCCATCCTTGTACTGGGTTTCCCAGGACCTTCAGGTTTATCAGAGAGTGCTTAACATTTACAAACACTAAGTTTACACCCAATAATTTATACTTCTGACTTCAATCAATTCGAGTTATAAAGGTATCTTCATCCATTTCCACTAATGACGGCTTTTCTACTCACGACTTGTTTAAATTTCATCGATCATGATCTCTAATTAAGTCTTTAAGAATCTATTTCAAAGTAAGTCGTTAAAGAGCTGAAGATTTTAGTTTAGACAAACTACTTTTGTGGAAATTAGTTCGATATGTACGTGATTTATGTTACATATTGATCACATTTGGAATGCTTTTGGGAATTGGAAGCACTAAACAACTATTTCATCAGATATTATTAGTTCCTGATTAAACAGTTAATAAAATCTATCATTCTTTATATTATTATTATGAGTGGTAGTAGTGGTAGTATATCAGAGTTTTGCATCATAATATGATTTTCAATCATTAAAGTCATAACATTACTTCAATCGCAACTGGGAAAAGCATGATTCTAGGTATTCGATATAAGAAATTGATTTAATTGGTCAAACTGTATTTATCTAAATGATATATACATTAATCCACCAACTATTCAATGTCTATGCTGAGCAACTTAAATACTTTATTCATTTCCTTTCTTTGAAAATATTAATTTAAGAAATAATTAAAAAAAACGGTGTCGTCGGGAATATTAAAATGCATCTTCATAAATAACCTATATCGAAACATGGTTTAACTTATCTAACTATCCTGTATATCCTGGTTTTTAGTAGTTTTCTAATTAAGATCATAGGAACCTAACATACAATAAATGTTTATTGTTTCCACTAAGTTTCCGCTTTGTATTTGTATTTTTAAAATAAGCTATTATCCAAATAACACGCAATGAGACTAGATATAGTTTCATTTGTATTTGTTTATTTAGCTTTTAAGCAATATATATATTCATACAGATAGACAGTTTAACAGTATATCCATAGTGCCCGGTATACTGGATGTTAGCTATCCATAAAAGAATATCTAATTCATATATTGAAGTTTCTTAACTAAGATCAAATAGTTAATATCATATCATGTATTAGTAATCTATTTTTCAAGACTTCAAGTTTAAAAAATAAGACAGACCAAAATCCATTGTTAATAAGAATGACAATTTCTGATACATTCTTGTTTAATAAATCTTGAGTAGAATAAATTTTATATTTGTAGATCTTTCACCAACTAGTAACTAATAATAGCTTCACAGTAAAATATATTTTTTAATAAAATTCTTTCCCTTATACACTGGATGTACTACTATGATTGTTAGTCAGTAATGTTATATTGGTGGATGCCAAGAAGCCTCAAACTAATGTTTTGCTTTAGTTTACACTAATCATCAATGAATAACTTTGAACTTGGAGGGAAAACATATGATCCTTGTTTCACCCACTATCACAGTCAAAGACATAGTTACTAGTATAGGGGTTGTGGAGATTATTAAGTTTTTGATTGAGATCATGAACCGATTGATGTTAGACCATCACAATTGAAAACGTGGAAGCACTGGACGGCCGTTTCGTCCTATTGTGGGACTCCTCAGCAACTAGAAACTATCACCATTGGATGCCGGCTCAGTGGTCCAGTTGGTTAAGCGTTCGCGAGCGAGACCGAAGGCCCTGGGTTCGAGTCCCGCTCGCGGGATCGTGAATGCGCACTGCTGAGGAGCCCCACAAGAGGAAGAAACGGCCTTCCAGTGCTTCCAGGTTTTCAATTGTGATGGTCTAACATCAATCGGTTCATGATCTCAATCAAAGACATATTTGTTGAGATATTTGGGTTGTCCCCTGTAGAACTGAATTATTTAAACATTAATTGATCATTTACTAAATTTAATTGTTAGTAGAACTCTATCAACTAAGTTATAATGGTGCTATTTGACTAAGTCATTCCAAATTACAGTGTATACTGACTTATCTTAAAAATGATTGATTCTATAAGTGTACCATTTAGTATTTTATTGTGTTATTTCCTTCTGATGTTTTTCTAAAAGGAATAAATCCAATGTTTCTAAATAAGTACTACCAAATAGAAACCATGATTAGTAAATGAAAGACCACTTATATGTGGAAAAATATGAGAATAACTCATTCATTAATGCATCTTTCTAAATAAATATGGTTTAACTAAAGCAGAAAAATATACTTTAAATATCTTCCTTTGGTAGTAATTCTTCAACAAGTTATTTAGGTAAGCTAGATAACTGATCATTATTTTTACCTCTTATCAATACCATTGAAAAACTTTAGAACATCAGACAGCTGTTCCACGTTTGATCGGAACTCCCTAGTAATATGAAGGAACAACTTCAAACCCTGGATTTCAGGGCCTCGCAGTGTAATGCAATTAAATACTGTAAACTTCAAATGTTAGTTTGTCAGAGTGAGCATTTAAAAACATCTTTATGTCAGTTTATTGATTGTGTTATCAACTTAGTTCTTATCTACTTATGAATGTATACATATTCATTTAATTTCGAGCACAATAAATGAAATCTTTGTCACTTGAGGCTTAATAATGTCAAGTTTCGATGAATATACTTTGCTGCTATCTCAGCTTAAAAAATGAATTTGATTTTTTTAATCAAATATTTTGCTAGAATATATATAATCCGCACATATACACACACATACACTTCTCTAAGCACACATCATGACATTTATAAATAAATAACATGGTTACTTGGCTTTTCTTAAATTCGTATTTCATGCAACTTATGTTATTTGTGCACATACAGATATATATTACAAAACACATAACTTACAGGCTTCTAATGATCTTTTGACCTCACTTCCTCTTGATTAGAATTATGACTATCAAGATTGATGTCACAAAGTAGAAATAATGATGAATGTATGTGTGATAATGCTTGATTCCCCTAATCAGATAAGGATTGGTTACATGACTAATAACTTCTATTTATGTAAATCCATATGTATGCAAATTTACACTTGCCTAATCATCTTTTGTCTAAGTGTATGTATGTGTGTTTGGATATACATTTATTTTCTTTGAAAGAATTGATGTTCAATTCAAGAAAGCGTTTTATAATTTATTTTCCTTCTTTCTATGGCTTAAATGATCAATACACGATTTGATGTATCAAAAACTTTATTTATTTGTTCCCATTTGGGTAATTCACATGCGACTTTGATTCGTAAATATGCGCGAATCTATTAATTTTTTAAAACACTGAAGAATTTTAATCAACGAAAAACAGTAACAGAATGTTTATACTGTCTTACACATAGGATGTAGGAATACTAAGAGTTAATTAGTAAACAGTCTAACCTAAAATATTTTGTAGTAAAGTTTTAAACTTATGTACCTTTTATTTCAAAGTGAAAAATACTTTAGTGAGGCGTTTTAAAACGGTCAAAAATCTTATAAAAACAGCATTGCACTGGAAGGATTAATTTGATCTAGTATTATTTCTCACCAACGAACTTAAGTTGATGATTTCGAACCTCAAATCGGCAGTTTTCTGTTAGGCAGTAATCATTTGATAGATATCATGTCAATTGGGACTCCCCAAGTAAGACGTCGCTGGAATCCTGAAGAGATTGATAGTTTCAGTCGAGTTCCCTGCTATCAAACGTTAAAATTAAGGATTTTACCGAAGACCTTGTGAAGAACTCAGATATTTAGATTGAATTGTTTTAAGTACTGTTTCTTAGTGTTGGTCATCCTCTGTCAATCTCACCACAGCACAGATACTAGTCTAAGTTATATATGCAAATCAGCTTCCATCTGGAGAAGGAATCAGGAAAAGATGATGAAAGTGGTTAGGACATCCATTACCAAAATCATCAAACTGAATCACGAAACAAGCACTAACTTGGAATCCTGAAGGAAAACGGAAAAGTGGAAGGCCGAAGAACACAGTGAGTCGAGAACTGGGAGAAAACATCCAAAAGTTGAATAGGAACTGAAAGGAACTTGAAAAGATTGTCTAGGAATGCTGGTGGATGACTTATGCTTCTTTATGAGAGGTAACAGGTGTAAGTGAGTAAATGTAAAGTTCAACCAGAGTATTTGGGGACTGTCTGATCTATATATGATGACTTAAGAGGTTCTGAATTTGTCTTCTCCCAACTTGAATGTTAGAAGCTGACAAAAATTATGTGTAATTTGAAAATTTTGATTAACTTATCTGCTTCATTTTAATATCATACACCACTCTCCTTGTATAAAGACGGCATAATTTGTTAAGTTCTCTGTAAAAGTAGTTTTAAGTTATTTTTTACAACTATTTTTGAGTGATATAAAGAGAAAACATCATTCATGACATTGCCATTTTCCAAAATCTAATTATCTGATCAATAATGTGACTGGTTCTCGGTCTAGAATCCTAGTTATTTTGGTTGTATTTATGAATATATATCCTATATGATGTATCAAAGAGATAAATGTGTAATTTGCTTTTTTTTACCTTAACATTATGTAAAACAAAACTCTTATCTACCTTTACTTTCTTTTCCAACAAAATTAATCCATTAGGACAATACAATTTCTGAAATTATAACGAAAACATTTTCATTAGTTTCGACTAGAAAATTATGAACAGTGAAATTTATGGTGGCGAAACACTGTTAGGATTGTTTAGTCCACCAACAGCTGGTCAGTTATTACCAAATTTATTATTATCACCAAACGAATCATCCAACTCATCAATTGATGTTCATAAATTGGCTATGTCATTAAATTCCAATTCTACGCAGGGAATTTCTAATATGAACAAAATTAATAATAACATTTTGCAACCTTTACAACAACAACAAACACAAAGACAAAATCCTTATGAAAATCAAGAATATTTTTCACTAAGAAATTCATTAATAGGTTCATCAGTTACATCAAGTACAACTGCAGCACCTGGAACAGTGACACCACCAACAACAGTGATAATAAATGGTATGCCTCAAGTATCGAATTCACTGGAACATTATTCACGATTTCTTAATTCTCGTGTCAATTCTACTAATGTTAATATCAGTGATGGTGGCAGTAATTGTCCTTATAATAATGATACAGATGAAAATGGATTAGATATGAAACAGAATATTGAAAAGATTAAAAGGTTAGTTTGACTGTTACCTATATATATATCCCTACATACTGCCTAAAAACAATTCCCTAATCATAATGTGATAATTAAACGAAAATTGTAAAAGGAATTAAGGTTAATCTTTTGTACTTAATGGCTACAGGATGTACATTGCGTTTCATATAATTCATTTGTCTGATACTCTCAAAATAATAGCTATCACGATCACTTTAGTTAATTTTACCAGTTATTTAATTTAGTTAATCAATAGTGAAGTTCAACTGATGAAAAATACACATTTGAAAACAAACCTAAAATTTAATATTAACGGTAAATCAGTTTACTATTGTAACAATATGATTGTAAATAGACGTTAGACATGTTCGTAGTTTCTTTCTTAGGGGGTGAGGAGCTATTTATAAACATTTAAGTTGATTTCTCATCTAAAACTTAGTTGACAAGTTGTTAGAACAAAACAAAACAAAAACTACACAGAAAATATTAAATAAGTGGTTTATCCTACTTTAAGATTCTACATTTTTGTGTAACCAAGCTTGGTTAAATGTGAACTTAAGGCTTTTATTATTTCACTAAAAGCATTATGCTTTCAGACTACTAAGTGACGATCCAAAATTTCGTATTATCAACCTCAGTTCATATGTAATACTGTACAAACTTCATTTCAAACAATCTTCATAAATATCTAATAATATTTATATTCATTTCTGTCAAAATTTCATGTCACAGTAATTATTGTATTGTCTCATGGATTCTTATGTTATAAATCATAAGGAAATATTTATTTTAAACGTTAACATAAAAGAATCATACCATACACTAATGAATAGATTCATGTAGGTAAATTTTCTGAATTTTCAAGTATAAACTCTTGATTTACAGACTAAAAGACAAATTTAAACGAATGAATGAACATAACACACAACTTGAAAACTATGTTATGAATCCAATGGATTATTTAAGAAAAGCAATATAAATGTGTTTACGATAAAATGTGAGGATTATTGTTATTGACAGATAATTCCCATTTCAACATTGAAAACACAAAGTTCAGCTAAGAGATCTCTTTACAACGAATTTATTATCAAGCTGTATAATCGCACATTTCCTTAAGGAACTAGTATTTTAACAAAAATAGTTTCATATACATATATACGATTGTACAGCTAGATTATTGTTATCTCATTAAGTTAGTACAGATGTCTTTCTTTCTAATACTAAATTTTATAATGTATTTCAATTGAATTCTAAATTAATAATCCATTCATTTGATTTGTTTTACAGTCATCCATTATTCCCCTTACTTGCTTTAATATTTGAAAAATGTGAATTAGCCACATGTATACCAAGAGATGAGAATTCCAATAGTTCAGTTGATGTTTGTTCATCTGATTCATTTCAAGAAGATATAAGTATGTTCACGAAAGAAGTAAGTTGAAATTATTACCTTATATATATGTTTTTTAATGATTCTTATAGCTAATGAAAACGAGACAGAATATCATGAATTAATCATTTTCTTATCATCCTCATATTATTTAAACATAACTTTGATAAGGCAGCTATCAAATCAAAGAATCTTCATAAGAAGTTTTTTACACTTCGGTTCTTATTTACACTTCAGTCATCATATCAGTACCATAATAACGCTTTAAAAACCGAGTTATAACAGTACACACTTAACATAGAGTTAAATATTGGTAGTCTTTCACTTCTTATGTTTCAGAACTAGAAATACAATTTATAGAATCTTAATTGACGTAGAAAACATGAACATTACAATCGATTAATCATTGGGTAGTGACTAATATCATGTTTACCCAGTCCTTTAGTACTGATTAAATTCTATCGACTAATATCTCAGTTTAACAAAAAGCCAGTAGCAGCCCAAATTGCTAATTAGTAACGCCTCGAACTCTGGAGCTAAGTAATGCGGGTTTGGATCCCACATAGGGTATGAGTCACTTTAAAGTCACAAGTACTCCATGTTCACGAATGGCAAGTACCAAGAAACCTAGGTCGAACAGAGTTTTCTGCTAACTACCTTTAACCACTCAATGCAATGAGGTTACATTGCATTAATTAGGAATATTCAGACTATCAATAACTAGTAATTTTTTGATGAACATTACTTATCAAATTCATTGATATCTTCCTACTGTTCTGGTTGTGATGATCGATTTGTTTTGTATTTATGGTTGTTCTTAAACCAATTAAAATTAACAATTAGGTTGATGTAAGTTATTTATATATGAAGATGGAAGAAGTCAATAAAAGCTTACTGATAAGCACAATACATGAATACACATCAGATCATATAGGCAGTATATACTTTTATAAATCATGAGTTCATATCTCAATAAATATAAAATGAAATAATAATGTAAGTATTTTGCTGTTAGATTCAAACATTTGTGAAAATGTTTTCTGATCAAAGTTGGTTTTCCTACAGACTAATATAAATCGGGAAACTGTTAAGAACTAAAAAATGTTGAACATTTGTGTTTTCTCTTATGAAACTCCTCATAAATATGCATATACGAATCCACCAAGTAACTAACCTAAGACACTCAAGTCCCTAAGTGACCATGTTACCCACAAACCGTTAAACGAGTATTTATTGTTTTGAAATTTTAAGTTCACTAAATTCATGATACAGTAAAATGTTATTTAATGACATTTACGACTACTTGCCTCATTCTTGTTTTAACTGAACGTTTCCATTCATCACATTCTGTTAAAACCATGAGAAATTATCTTGAAGTCAGTCACAAGTGAGCACACGATTAGTGTTCGATTAGCAGGTTGGTAGAGATTAATTTGGATTGAAGTTCGTTTTCAAATATTATCTCAAGGATCTATTCAGCCAAAAAAATAAGCATAAAAACTAGAACAGAATAGTTTAATACAAGACTAAAATGTAATCAAATAAAGAAAAGAAAGAATTAGTAAAAATCAATACAAGTGACTATTTGGCAGTTTTACATTTTTTGGGGCTAAATATTTTGATAACAGAGCACTCATTTTTATTTTGGACATCATTTGAAGTAGTGGTAATTACTCAACTTAAAGAACATGGAACCAGCAAATGAATCCACTTGAGCTATAAATATTTTTTTCGTCAATTTAGCATACTGATTGTATCCATTTATGCAATTTTTCTTATTAATGACTACAGAATACCCAAATTGCTTAAGGTAAAGTAAATTTCAGATGATCACTTCTGTTGTTTGAGAAAAACTCTGACACCAGATCAACAGATCCGTACAAATCGTAAATTCACCTACTGTCATTTAACTTCTAATCTCACTAAGAATTATCTAATTTAACTGAAATATTTGAATTGAAATAAATGTTAAATCCATCAACTAAGGAACAGTCGAAATATTATTTTTTTAAGGAAGACATAGCTGTCATTCATTCACATTATATTTATCTTAATTAATAAATACTTTTCTAAAATATTACTCGTATTCAGTCATATAAAATAACTCATTTCTGTCTGTTATCATATATTTTAAATCAAAGATTCAAAATTAACACTTTAGCTCATAAAATAGACGAACGTTTTAAGTTTATAATATTTAATATCAGAAGAGATTTTTGTGGATATTATAGTAATTTCAGCAGTTGAGATCATGAGTCAATTAAAGCGAGACTACCATGGAAAACCTGAAAGCAATGGACGATTGTTTCGTCTAATTGTTGAACTCCTAAGCAACGCGTCCCTACGATCCCGCATCGCAAGGTTCGAACACAGAACCTGTCGATCTTGCGTGCAGACACAACCACCAGACCACTAAGCCAGCATGCGGTGGTGTTAACGTCTAACTTCAACCAACCCACGAAATTGAGCGACATACCCACCATTCTCTTCAGTGAGTTACTATCTCATAGCAGATCCGGTCGAACTCCACTGGTCACTGCTTCTCACTAGAGCTCCAGGAAATACCTCTTGAAGCCCATCACTAGTGAGCATATGTTGATTAATATCAGAAGGCGTTTTTGTGGATTTCAGAATAATTTCAATGGTTGAGATCATGAGTCAATTGAAGCGAGACCATCATGCAAAACCTGGAAGCACTGTACGGCCGTTTCGACCTATTGTAGAACTTCTCAGCGATGCACATCCACAATCCTATCTCCCGAGATACAACATTTAAAACAAAATCACTAGCGATATTCTAGACCTTAATTTCAGAGCAAATTCATCATTCATAAAATATTACATATTAGAAAGATATATAGTAATTTATAAATTCATGTTTCCATTATATTCTATCAGTTGTTACTAATATATTTCCACTTTTCTTCTGGAAAACAGTAAACATAAAACATGATAATGAAATAAGTAGAAAACAATCTGTTTTATGTTTAGTGACTTTTCTGTCATAAGGGAAAAAAACAACAACAATAAAATGAATTTTCTGTCATTGTTTAACTTTTCTTAAATTTCGTTCAATTATTCATGTTAATTTAAAAATGGAAATATTATGCGCTCATTTGATTAGTCAAATTAAGAAGATAAAAACAAAGTTATACAATATTGGACATTGAACATCATGAATTACGAAATTAACTCATTTTGACAGTTCTATGTTAATTTAAGTCTCATTTTTTTGTCATAAAATAAAAAGATACATAACATCATTGACGACGATATGTAATACATTTTCTGATATCTTTTATTATATATAAAGTTTAAATAATAAAATTTATGGATAATATTAATCTTTATTCAAAATATTAATTAAGCAATTCATTCATTCTATTTTTTAAAGAACAATATCATTCTTAAATGGTGAATTTCTTAAATGGTGAAATTCTTTGATGATCGCACAATATCCCCCTAGTAACTATAATATTATTTTTCAAAGAAAAATAATATTATTTCATTTCAAGTCAAACGTCATTTGCTGACAAATAATCGAGATTATGTACAGAGGATAAATGTGTTCTAATGTATCTAGGCTTTCTTTTTCTCAAAGTATGATACTTTATTACTTGTAAGTGGATAAAATGAATCGAATTGACTATAAAAACTCTTTAGAATATATAACATTTTTTTTGGAGAATGATTGGAAGTCATGAAGCAATAGATACATTTTTCATTCTAATTTGAAAATGATCAGTTTTATGCATTCTTGTTGCTAATCACGATTGAAAACAAGATCGTCACATTTAACACTGCACAAAGTGATATTATTTGATAAATAATTTAGGATTTATTCGTGAGAGTTCATCAATAAGTGTTCCCTGCAACCTTGGGGAGACAAATGCTGACTAATATCTATCTCATTAAGTGTCATAAATAGATATAATGTTACTGAACTCTTTGGACTAGTTATGAACCTGAAAATACGACATAAATTACTCGCAAACGACTATTTAATGTATTTGACTAAATCACTAGATGTTATTGGGAATTTGCGTGCAGAAGTAATAAGTTGCTGAACTATTGAGATTACTGATGTAATTTTAAATATTAACTAAGATCATTGGTTTCTGTTGGATTATAGACAAGCCTCAGCTGTAATTAATAATTCTGATGGTTCCTAATAATTACGTTCAAGGAATTCTAATATTAAGAACAGTGTACAGCAGCATTAATCAAATAAATTTAGTGATCAAATTGCAGATTTGATTCATGGAATTCAGTTGGCTTTAGTGAGTAACTAATAGAAATTTGTTTCCGATTCGATCATCAACAAGTTTGCATATGAAAAACTCCAAAGGGAATTTAGCAAATTTTATCATAAAATCTATAACAATAAAGCTTATCTCCCAACTTTAACTCAACTGAGCTTAACAAAAAAATAGATAATTAATCAAAGTGGTTTTAGGAAGAACTTAGATTATTTGGTGACACCCTTAATCACGACTTGAAATCAGAAGAAAACTATAAAGTTTGTGAAAATTGTTGTATCCCAGTTCAATAATTCTGAATCACCATAAAACAGTTGTCCGATTCTTCCACGTTTCAACAGTCAATTAGCAAAGACACCATCTTAATCTATTGTATTGGTAAATAAATTTACTACATTTAATCATTTTCATCATGAATCATTCATACAAGATGTTCTGGAGTCAAGAACTATAAATAAGTAATCATACTGGATTATTTTAGGCTGATCAACAAAATATAACATCGATAACACATAAATCATTAAAGCGTGGTCCCTTTCACTATAATAATGATTGCCTTTAATGGTATCCTACTATAATTTAAGCTAAAAAGTCTTAAAATCCTCAAGAGTATTAGAAAGGAAAAAACGAAACATACACAAAACAATGAGGTCATCCATCCATTTGAATTAAATTATACGACTATCAAAAGTTTTTTTAAATTCATTCATCTTCATTAAACAATACTATTATTATCAATATATCTAATACTACTCACCCTACTCAACCTTCTAAAATGATATT